ACAATCTTTAACCGTTTATAGTTCATAGCAACATTAACCGATTTCGATAAAATTTTCAGCGTGTGTATAATTGACATAGACCTACAAAACGTATTTTTTAAATTTTCATTACGAACTCAGATAAAAAAGTTGTAAAAACGACCTTCGCTATTTTCTTCGCGATTCCGACTAATTGCAGTTTTTTCAAAAATTTTTTACACGTCATCTAGTAAACTAATCTTTCTAACTTCTCAAAAAAACTCAAGTCGTTTGGCCCAATTTTAAAAAAGTTATTCCATTTTATAGGGTGTATGAATACTTTTTTCGGTCACTGTATGTATTTCTTATACTAATTCAGCTATTAATATCTATATTGAAACATATGCTATAAAAAAAGTCATAAATATATTTCAGATACTATAAAAAAACAAATCATGTCAGAAAATGCCATTCTTAACTAATAATAGTAAATAGTAATGTATTTATAATAAAAATTCTGTACAATTGCAGTTGAATAGTTCCTAAGTCAAAAGTTTAATGTCTACTTTAATTTTATTTAAAATAGTTACATGTACATTCAATGGTATTAAAAAAATGAAAAAATTGAAATACATTTGACTAAGGAATTATCAAAGATTGGAAAGTTAGATCCTTTTAAGATCTTTTGAATTATTTTGATTACAATGTAGTAATTTCTAATACTATTTGTAGTAATGGTTTTCTGTTATGTACAATATGTAAATTTTTAACTACGTTTTATTAAGCATAGTGTTGTGATGTATAATTATGCTTGTGATATGTTATCTCTACTATTTCTAAACGCGTTTAGAATAATTTTTACAAGGTAAATAGTGTTGTACTTTAAAAAAAAAAACTAAATACTAAACCTTACCTGATTTTCTTAATATTTGAAATGTAGTATCTTATAATCTAATGAGGCTCAGAAAAAATTTGCAGTTGTAAAAGAAAATGTTTCCAATATTGTATAATGTTGTGTAAACACAATTTATTAGTAAATTATTGAACTCACAGAATAATGAAAAAGGATTAATTAAACTCACCATAATAGGTGATAACTGAGAATGCACTTTTTCACAAAATATATTCCACCATAATTGCAACAATGGTTGTAAATGTGCAGAGCCCATTGGTGGTTGAACAATACCAGTTAAGGTGTCAAAATACTGTAACCATGGTTTTGTAATACCAATGAAATGTATTATTCTAACATCATCTCTAAACCTAATAAACAACAATTTCCATTAAGCTTCTATTAATGAAAGAATTATAATTAAGTAAACACATTTCCTTACTGTTTGAATGCAGGAAGATAAGAATATGCAGCAGTAGAACACATATTGTAGATAAATGGTAAATGTGTGGACAAATATTTTCTGGACCAGTCACTGAAGTACATATTCAATAGACCTTGGTCACCACCATCAAATGAACCATTAGCAGCGGCAAATGCGGTAATAGAAGCAAAGGTTTGTTGAGATGGTCTGTATACAAATACACCAGAATTGAAACAATCAGGCCAACCCACATCAGGAGCAGCAGACAGTTCTTCTCTTTCAAACAATTCATCACAATTTTTGACAACCTAACATAGATAATACAACAAGTAAAAAATATATAATTCTTTTAATTGAACTGAATTATCTTGTGCACTTACAAGTGTATCTGCATCAAGAAAGACACATTTCTCATATTGAGTCAATCTCCAGCAATGCAGTTTGGTAAATGTAATACCCAACTCTGGTCTAGCTAAAAGTGCCAAATTAGCTTCATCCTTTGAGTCAAGCACATTTACTTCCATTACTAGAGAAAAGACTGCTGATAATTTTTCCCTAAACATAATTGAAAAAAAAAACACTATTGATAATTGACATTAGGCAGGAATCATTACTTACACCTAATTTCCAACATCAATTATCTTCTTTTACTCTAAAGAATTTTCGACGTCCTAGCTCTCACTGTTTGTGCGTTCAACGTTAGAAAACAGACAATGGTCCAATTATATTAATACAAATCACTGGGAAACGGCTTACCTCATCGTTTGTGTTACTCCAGGAGTAATCAAAACAGCCAATTCGTACTTGGTATCAACCCGACGTAGAGAGTGGGCCAAAACTAACGCTCCCAGAGAATAAGCGTCGTTGGTAGCCAACGTAACCCAGGCGTATCCTTAAAATTACAATGGCTTATTGTTGTAAATAATGCCAAAAAAGAAAATAGTACAACAATCTTACGAAAAAAAAAGTAGTCTTTGATATTTCCTCGCGACCATTTATGTAAATTGCAATACCCGCATGTACATGAATACCTTGTTGCTTGATAACATTGGTATTCACTGTATCGTTGTACATATGTAGATTGATAAGCCATTTGTCGTGTGTGAAATTAACTGTTCGCAGCCGTTGAAACATTGATTCCTAAATTGTCTTCGATATTACATCATCTATAGACTCCGAGAAGGAATGCATTTTTCTTTTGGTATAAGTAGCTCACCGATGATAACACCCTGAACTCTGCGAGTGCCATTGACTCAGATTTCGTCGCTTATCTAACTAATAATTACGTAAATTCGAAGACAATTGTAACGATTACCTAGTATAAAAATTGTTTGCTAAAAATAACGAATTATGAATAACGTGAGAAGAGTATGAGTTTATTTCGAATTATTCCGGAAATGATTGTTAAACTTTTCACGATTTTCACGTAATATCTTTTTCTCTTTTTTGCATAAATGTGTTACATTTTGAATACTAATTTGAAAGATTTAGAAACTGCACACTGCATCCATGACCGTTTTTCAAAACGATAAAACTGATAAAAATAGAAGACGCGCATGCTAGATGCTCGCTTGATCTAACCGTGGCGAACCCAAATGCGTTCAACTTGTTTTTCACCAATAAGAAATTCAGCGTTGCCGCTTTATTTATAACTCTTTCTATTTCTATTTCGCAAATGTCATCACGCGGCTCGCCCCGGCCCCGAGAATCACAAGAAATTTGGCTCCAATTTTCCTGGATAAAAGCACTATTTTTAGTCATTTATCTTCACTGTTACTTTTGCTCACGATACTTCGTCAGATAGGATATAATCGGAGAGTAAGAAGAAAAAAAAAATTCAATGTAGATCCCAGTGAGAAATCATATGATTTACTATGCCTTCTTCACGATAATTGGTTATCAGCTCTTCGACTAGTCCCTTGCTCGAAATTCTAGATATGCGGTATTAAAAGTTTCTAATTTATTAAATACTTCAACAGTTAAATTTCATCCATTAATATGATAACGTTAGAGACCCAGACTGTGATAATAATAATTCTGTTGCTCAATTTAATACAGAGAATAATTGTTTTAACATCATACGATGTGCAAAATAACCCTACGTATTCTTAGCATAAATTACCGGATTACGTGCATTAACACAGTTATAAATGGAAATGTCCATCTGTATGGTGGTATACAGAGAGATGTATACTCGAAAAAATAAGACGGCCGAAAAAAATTCGATTGATTTTTGTTTTCTTCCTTACTACGCAACACGTGTTTCATAGGACAGGAAGTATAATTACATCTTACAATTCTAGAATTATTCTGTGCAGTCTTGGGCCTTGAAAATATACCGTTCACGTTTCTGGAATGGCTGCATTATACGTATCGACATTGAATGAGATATTAAGTTTCCTGCGTTAGGTGCATTTCGCGAGGTTATCGTTGTAATCACAGAAACGGGGCTTTTGCGGAATACCGCTATACAGTGTGACAGGTTAAATGGTTGTTCGATCGACGATTATCGAGATATCAATGAATCGAATTCGATGCGTATCGATAGTATTGCATAATCCATAGCAGGCATATTTATTTATGATATACATACGTAGTTTAGGTACGTTTGTCGACACGTTCGATACTTGAAGAAATTTTACGGTTTCCATAGAAATTCAAATAATACTCGAAACTTCATATCACTAATCGCAATTGTAACCTAGAAATGTTTCCAAATTAATGCTAGTTTACATTGTTTTCAAAATTATCAGTGTGTTATCAATTATTTAATATTTGATATCGTACTACTGAAGAGATTCCGCGGAATTATGAAAGCAATCTCAATTTATTGAGTGGCTTCTCAAGTGTTCTACCTGTAGAACATTATTATTACGATTCTTTATCTATCACCATTTTACATAGGCGGATCGCATCAAAGGTGTCGGTGAAATTAAATGCAACGAACGCAAAGGCGCAGCACTGAGTCATAGGCGTA